CTCTTTTCGGGATTTACTTCTATTCTCCATTTTTGGAACCAATCGCCGAGGCGGTCGGCGGCGCTTTGGATACGAGTAGTGAGTTGATTGAGATTTTTATCTGTGTAAAAGAGCGCCGTGTCATCCGCGAAAAGCGCGAAATTGACGTGGGGTTCTTTGGGTATGTCGCTCGTGTAGAGCTTAAAGAGCAAAGGTGACAGGCAGGAGCCTTGTGGAACGCCAGCCGTAAGGCGGCGGCATGTGGAGAGGGTTCCCTCGACTCGATATCGAAAAGAGCGATTCAACAGGAAGGCCTATGGTGTGTACAAGCCTATCTGGCACTCTGAGTGTATAAGCTTGTAAAGCAAGCCGTTGTGCCAGACCTTGTTGAATGCTTTTGCGACATCGAAGAAAAGAGCCCCCGTGCTAATATGTTTAGGGTGATTTAGGCCTTTTAGGATATGTTCCGTTAGGCGGTATAATTGATCGAGACAGGAATGTCTAGCTCGAAAGCTGAATTGTTCCGCCAGCAGAAAGCCTTTGGAAAACACGTGCTCTTTGAGCCTGTTTAATAGAAGCCGCTCGTAGAGCTTCCCCAGGCAACTGAGGAGGCCAATGGGACGATAACTAGAGGGCTGATTGGCTGGTTTATTCGGCTTGCGAATGCCGATAATCGTGGCTTCTTTCCAGTTGTCCGGAGCAACTGGAGAGTAAAGTGGTGTAAATGGTCGCTAGTAAACAGATAAGTGGCCCAGGAGAGCTTTAAGAATTTTGTTATTAATATTATCTGGGCCCGGGGCGGATTTGGGTTTTAAATTTTTGACAATGTCTTGTACCTCTTCGGGGGTCACTGAACTCAAAGGATCGCCTTCCGGTGGAAGCGCAGCCCTAATCTCGATTACGCGGTCCACCTCCGTTAGGTGGGCTGTATCGGTGTGTTCCCAGAAAACATTAGTGTAATAGTACTTTTAGTATTTTTAAACTCTTTTTTAATAATGCGAAGGTGTGTGAATTCGTAAATTTATACATGTTGTCAATCACAAAATTGCCGATTTATTTAGTGAAAATAACAAGTTTTAAATTTTTCTTTTCTCAAAAACTATAAGCGACCGCCAAATTCTGCTTGTTGATTATTTCATTAGTGATTTTTCTTAACCGAATAAATTGTTTGGTGGAAAACACCCGGAAACTAATGGAAATTTTTACCCATTTTTTTGTGTAGGGTTGCAGTGCTGCCACAATAAAAACTGAACTTGAACTTGATTCTATTCATAGCACTAACGAACCAACGTTGCAGACTGTTTATAACTGTATAGATGATTTTAAACGTGGTCGGTCAAGCACATCTGATGCTCCACACTCTGGTCGCCCAATCGATAGAACACAGGCATCTCCATTGAGCGAGCATATAATATCCTGCTTAAATATAATAATAATCGTAATAAAACCCTGCATGAAGATTTTGGTATGACAAAGCTGTCTGCACGATGGGTGCCACGTTTGTTGACAATCGAACAAAAAGGCGAACGAAAGCGAATTTCAAAACTGTGTTTGGATTATGATGAAGCCTATTCCTGGGAATTTTTGAATCCATTTGTCACTGTGGACGAAACTTGGGTCCATCATTATACACCTGAATCAAAACAGCAATTAAAACAATGGATGGCCACTAGTGAACGTGCCCCAAAGAAGGCCAAGACTGTTTTGTCGGCTGGGAAGGTGATGTCGACAGTCTTCTGGGATGGTGGAGGAATCATTATGATTGATTACTTGGAAAAGGGAAAGACTATCTATCACTGGCCGTTCCTACGCAGAGTTATTAGACCGTTTTAGTGCCGAATTGTTGACAACGAAAAGCGACCAAAATTATCCCCAAGAAAGACCTCTTTCATCAAGACAATGCCCCTGTGTACACGTCAGCTATTGCAATGGGTAAAACCCACAAGTTGGGCTTCGACCTGGTGCTCCGTGCGATTATAACCTATTCCCAAATCTGAAAAGATGGCTTGGAGGGAAAAAAATTGACAAATGACGACTACATCGCAGGTGTAAAAAGCTATTTAGAAGACCGTGACAGAACGTATTTTTTGGACAGCATAAAAAAAATTGGAAACTCGCTGGAACATGTTTGGCCCTCAAAGAAGACTTTGTTGAGAAAGAAATAAATGTAAATTGTTTAAAAAATATATATTTTTTACTTTTTAAAAAGACTTATCAAACAGCCCTAGTATCGAGTTAATTAAAGGCGTTATTAACTGAGACATGCATTTTTCTCTTCATTTTTGTTTCAGTTGCAGAGCAAAGAGAAATGGTCGAAACTAAGAAAACATGGTGATCTCATTATATCAGACCATAGCATCAAATTTCACTATTACAAGTGGGAATACATACCCAAATTATAAAGCGTGTCTTTACCTTTATTGTCGCGGTGGTAAAGACAAGCTGTATATCCACGCCCGGCTTGACTTGGAGAGAATAATAAAAGGCATTACGTTCACCCTTTGTGATCCTTGTTTAAGGTAAGTACAATAAACTATAAATGAATAAATAAATTACATTTCCTATTGTACTAGCTGACACTTTTAGACCAAGTAGTATTTGTTTGTGCTATTCTTCCGCCTTAAATGAAAAGTTTCCAAGAGAAAGACATAAAAGCGTTTGTCATTATTGGTCACCCCTAGATATTTGAGCTTCTCCCAAGTGATCGGTTAGTTGAAAAGAGTTAATTTAATTGCCCAAACTTTCTATTTGCAATAGTTTTCTCCGATTTTACATCTATTCTCCATTTCCATGCTGCATGTTTCGAATGGCGTCCAATAAAATATTTAAATATATTTAAAACGCGGACCCAACATACGTTGTCCTGTGAAAATCCGACAATTTATAAATAAATAAAAAAACCACCAATTGTGAATCTAAACCATTCTCGAATCGACCTAATGACACACAAAAAAATTCATTAAAATCGGACCAGCCGTTTAGGAGTTCAGTGACATACACACATACAGAAGAATTATCTATATATAGATAAACCGTTATAAATTGCATTTAATGTTTTTATGCATGATTTTTTACTTTTAACAGATATGACCGGGGAGTTTTTAAAACTTATTGTTAATGTGATCGTGATCTGGGCGGAAGTATATTTCAATTTCATTAATCCTTTTATTACATACTTGACCGCTTCTGGGTGACTATGTTAAAAGGGTCAACTTAAGTAATGACTTAGCCAATGGGCTAGCCTCATTTATTTAATTATTGATCTTAAACTTAATATATCAAAATCAAATCTAAATCATTGCAAAATTTCTATAGTTCGTGTTAAAATTGAGATGATGAGCATTGGGAGACTTAACAATTATACTCAGCTGACGCCACAACTGTCTGATAACATCCGTAAACTCCGCTATTCTTCCATATCCATAGGCATGTTATGTGCACATTACTATCGTTCACAAATACGTGGGTTACACACTCGGTTAACACATTTTCAAATACACTACGCCTAGAGAGCAGGGCTACAGATCCATAGAGTTTTGGACGGACAGACAGACAGGATTTCAATATCCTATAATAGGATATTGGTTTCAATATCCGATTAACATCATACATAAAAATTGTACATTTTACCATTTATTTAGTTATTATTATATTACCTATTGAGTGTAAGACTTAACAAGAAACCATAATTATACATAATTATGTAAAACACAATGGGCTTTTACAGACACAGTTGATTAATGAAGAAAATTAATTAAAATAAAAAGTAAAGTAACAGCCTATACGTGTCCGACTGCTGGGCAACTCCTCTATACAGAGGGTATATGCAGGAAAATATGCAGGTTTCCTCACGATGTTTTCCTTCACCGCGGAACACGTGATAAGTCAGCACTTAAAGTTAAAAATTTCATTGGTGCCGGCACCGGGATCGAACTCAGGTTGAACTCAAACTGAAGCTCGAGTATATTGAATTAAAGGAGAGCGCCCGGACTTAATTATTTTATTAAACACTATTATTCAGTAAGATACATTTTATACAGTATTAATTGTTAAATTACAATGATGAAAAAATGATTTTTTGTTATTTTCAATCATAAGGTTTTGAAAAAAGAGCATAATTATAACAATAAGAAAGTAGATCATTTGCCGACACAACATGGTAATCGTAGATTATCTTATCTTTTATTATTATAAATAGAACTTACAACCGCGAGATTAGAAACAACGCTTCTTAACAATTAAAGTTCAAAATAATCAGTCATTCAATGGGCACTTGTTTTACTAATATTTCAGTTTATATGAAAAATTACTTTACAAAACGTGAATTGGAAATGTGTATTGTGTAAATAGATTGAATAAAAGTTTATAAAAAAATTCCATTTATTTATATGTTAAAAACATATCACACCATCTCATGGTTAATGGCGGTGAATATAAATAGCATAAAAAAATAAAGGACATGTTTCGTTAATTGCTTAGTTACTTACTTATAAAAATATTATGTCAAAACAAATAACATCAATAAGGCAATACAACATATCAATTATCGTCATATCGTAATCCACACTGGTTAGTTCAATAAAATCTCACTGAAGTCTTATTACAATGACAGCGACGTCAATATCAATTTTTAGCCATAAATATACATTATTGTTATTTATAATTCATTCAAACAAAACTAACCTGATTATGCTTTATTTTATTTGAACACATGTGACACAGTAATAGTAATTTGGGTGGCATTGTCATTGCAGTGTCTCCGTTTTTACTGTTGGCTTATGTTGTCAAATACAAGTGGAATATAATTTAAAAACCTTAAAACCAGACTGCGTTTCTGTTTTTTTTTTATTATTTTGATATACCCAGTGTCACTCTCATAGTAAATACGAATCTAACAACACCTCTCAAGCTAAAATCCATCAAGTCGTTCAGATTGCAGAGCGTGCCAAACAGTTTTACATACATACTCTCGAAAAACATAACTCTCCTTCTGGCGCAGTCGAGTAATAAATATGCATTTATGTCTCGACGCTAACGAGATGACTTTGAAGAGCGGTAGATTGGTGGTAGCGACGGCGCGAGGCAAAGTCTTCGTTGTCGTCATTAAGCCTCTCCTGTTCGACGGATATGTCTGCATGAACTGGTGTCACCACTAGTTGCTCATATTCCAACGGCCGTTTTCTGATAATATACGATGTAAGAAATAAACGCAAAATAAAATAAGTGATGTTGAAAAACTTGTTACACAATGTGTTTTTTTTTTCAAACGTAGAGAATAAATAATCTATCTGAGATTGTAGTGGGTGTGACACCAATTGGCGTGGAACAATAATTCAATAAGAACTATCAGAAACCGTAATTTTACGGTTTCTGGCAGTTCATGGGTACAAAAGTTATTGTACCACCTACAAAGTTATTGTGCCTATGACGACATATTTTTATATAAATAGACACATATTTTATATAAGCTTGGTGGAACGTAATCGCAAAAGGTCTGTCTACATTTTAAAAAATCTTCTAAATAAGAGAAAGACATGCTGCTAATGAAGGAATTTTCATATACACATTTAGATCTTATAAAAATAAGGCTCCACTTGAACAAAAAATGAAACAGTTATAGTATTTACTTTTAATAATTTTTTTAAGTGGATCAATTATTTAACACCTCTGAATGTGGCTAATAATGTTGAATACTCTTATGTGCATGATCAAAATCATTCAAATAAAAAAAAAAACTAACTTACCCAATGGCCTGTAAAAACGATATTTTCAACCAGTGGAAAAATCGGAAATCTGATGCCCTGCCGGGCTTTACTGCTGGATTGGCAGCACCAATGTATAGCCATAAAAGCCACAAAATGGAAAGGCACCCAAGGGCATATACCCAGTGTACCAAAAACATTAACAAAATTTTAATCGCCACCTAAAAGTAATTAATATACAGTCATACAAAATATCTTTGGCTATTTTTATAGTCTAAAATTCTTCTTCTAAAACTCTTAAAATTATTTTTCTTTCCCATTAATACTATTACATAAGTAATACATGTTAGATTGTAACTAAAAATGGAAAAGAATTTTGATATTGTAGCCGCAACACTAAATCATTATTTATGTAGATAAACATAATTATTTATTTAATATTTTTAAGAAACTAAAATTATACTTTCTTATTAATTACTCACCCCTGCAAGAGACAGCCAACGATTACAAAGATGCGAATACCAATTCTTGTTTTTTGAGTGCACATTTACACTCGGCCTATTTGCATCACCATTGGTCATACGTCCATTCATTATCGCCGAGTCAGTAGGAGACGGCGTAAAATCCTTTAAACGGAAAGGAATTAATCATAATTTTTTTATAAAATTCAAAATATGACTATAAACTACTTCAACTTACGCCGACGTTCTTGTGCCGTATTCTTTCAGGAAACAACAGATCGAGATCACTGCCTGTTGCTCCATAGACTTGGGTGTCTCTTTGCATGTGACCTTGAAATCTACAAAAATAATGACAAACATGATATTATGAAAAAAGATATATGCCAATAAAATATATTACTTCTAATTTAACGCTACAAACTCTAAAGTGATTTCATAAACATCTGAAATGATTTTTTTATTTATAAATAAAACTACTTTCACATAAAAAAATATTTTTTTATGGGAAAGTTAAGTTATTTATTTACTGTCGCATAAAATTTTTTATAAAATTTATATGTGATAAAATATTTTTTTTATGTGAAAAGTTGCCAAGCGAACATGCGGTTCACCTCATGTTACGTGAATACCGACGCCCATGGACATCTACTACACCCGAGGGTTCCAGGTGCGTTGACAACTTTTTGAAAAATGGGCTCCGGTCATCTCACCCACCAGACGAAACGCGAAAGTATATTCTTCCACTTTACGCCGGCCTTCTGTGAGGTCGTGGTACTTACCCGGACGAGCCTGCCAATTCGTGCTACAACCGAGACTGCTGCGTGGCCCCACCGCTTAGAATTAGAATATTATTTACTAATATGACTCAATCCACAATTGATAATAAAAATCTAAAAAATACAACATTAGGCGTCATTTACGTATTAAATATCTAAATGTTTTCCTGTAGTTTACTGTTCTGTAATGTTATAAAGTTATTGTATTTGACATTAATTATTGAATTCATTTTCAGTTCGGTTGGAAAGTGTTAAGTGATTACCATCATGGACAACTACAATATTTGAGGGGTTGCACATGCATTGCCAAACTTTGAAAACGTGAGCCCCAGTAACCAAACACGCAAGTAAAGACGACAGAAATACTGGAAGTATTTCTTCACTTCACACTGGCCTTATTTGTGGTTGTGTTACTTTCCCAGACAAACCTGCCCATTTGTGCAACAGCAGAAGTTACTGCATGATCCTACCAGTGTTTTATAATAATAAAGATAATTTAAATAAAACAAATTTTCGTACCTCATTTCGCGCTTGTGTTGCAAATCAAATGTTTGGGCGAGAGCAAAATAAGAATAATCAATACTAGCATAAGTAATAAGAAAAGGCATGGTGACAATGGGTGCGAGTTTATTAATATCACCAATAATGATGAATGTTACAGTTACTACAGCAACTACAATCATAGAATAAACAGGCACCTTATTTGGGCCTCTCTGTAAAAAAAAAAAAGTTTGCAATTTAAACTTCTATTCACTACATCCCTAATATTGAAAATTCTCTATTTTATGTTTAATGTTAATTCTATTTAAATAAGAAGTATTAAAAATATAATTAAAAATATATTTCATTTATGCCATAAATGAAATCAATAAAATTACAACTAACTATTTCTAAAAACAAATACAAATTTACCCCATGTCCAAGTACATCTAATCCAGGTATGACTTTTTCGTTTGCAATACTCTGCAGAACTCTGGGTGTCCCGTACATTGCACCTAGACATGAACTCATAGAACTGACATATAATCCAGCAAGGAGTAAAATTGTGACGGCTGATATATCTGCTGTTATTGAAAAATTTTTAAGTAGCGCTTCTCGTGTTACAGTGGCTGCTAATGTTATAACAAACATTAGATAAAGGAATGTTCTGAAAAATTAAAAAAAAATACTAATGCTTTTAGATATGCAGAGTGGGAAATAGTTTAGTTGAAAATAATCTTTGATTTGCAGATTTCAATAAATTTTGCCTCTAGTATGTAAGAAAAGAGTTTCATAATAATACGAATGATGATGTGTGTATTATGAAAAGCTTAATTATTAAACAAGATTAATTATTAGATTATATTTAGGACATAACTATGGCATAATAATGCTACTTGTGTCGTCACTAACTCACCCAGTACTAATAGCTGCCAATGAACCATTTGGAATATTGATGGATGGATTTCTTAAATCTCCACTCATATTAATTCCTGCCAAAATACCAGTAATTGTGGGGAAGAATACACCAAAACATTTAAACCATGTGTAGCCATCTTGATAGTTTGCCCAAGTATTATTGGCTATTGTTCCACCTAGCCAACCTTTGAATTCAGCAGCTGTAAATTACAAAAAAAATTACAAATGGATTTGTGTGTATAGAAAATAGGATGTTAACTGTGGTAAATCTAAAAATCTTCTGAGTTGCACTAATGCACAGGCCCGTCCATGTAAGTACCACAACCTCACAGATGACCGACGTGACGTGAAAGTGTTATACTTCTGCATTTCTTCTGGTGAGTGGGGTAGACAGGGCCCACTTTATTAAAAGGTGGCAATGCATCTGCACCCCCTCGGGTGTTGCAAATATCAATGGGCGGCGGTAATTACTTAACATCAGGTGAACTGCCAGCTCATTTGCCACCATCTCACATTAAGGAAAACAACTATTTCCATAGACATAGACTTTTGTTAGACACTTTTTTAAGACTTTTTGGTCTAAAAATTTTACTGTGTAATGTTTCTGGTTATAATAATACAATGAGTTTCATACTTTTAACATAAGAATAACTGCCTAATTTTAAAAGTATTTAAATACTTTTAAAATTAGGCAGTTATATAAAGGGTGGTCATGAGTTTTAATTATTTAAGTAGCGGGAATCAGAGCATAATCTGGTTTAAAAGTTTCTCACTCTGCACTACTAAACTGTTTTTACAATTTACCCTGTTGAAGCTGTGAGATGATAACAATATTGAAGTAAACATAAAAGGACTTTTACAGCTACTTAAAATATAAACTTTAATTTTCCAGAAATATTCTGTTAATTTAACACTTAAAATATGATTATAAGTATACTTAAGTCTTCAAATACTTACTTGGAATTGTAGTAAGGGAACCCACAAAGAAATCTAGTGCAGCTAATAAAATTATTAATAGCAAAACAAATTGCAGTTTTATAACCCATTTTACTCCAGCCACATTAATAACTCCTAATAGAAGCACAGCGGCTATTGCAAAACCTCTAGCTGCCCATGTATTATCTGAGCCAATCAAATTTGCCATAGATTCTCCAAAACCAAATACATTGAGGGCACAACCTACAGCCTGAAAATTACGTATCTGTACACACAACTGAAAAACATGAAATAGCAATGCCATGCCTAATAGACAACATAAAGTTAAAATGTATGTTAGCTCACAACACATTAATACCATTCACATGTTGGAGATGGACCATGTTATCGTACTTAGGACTCAGTATTCACCAGCAGGTGGCCATTTGAACTTTTTAGTATTGTACTTTTTAGTATTGTACTTTTTAGTATTATTTTTTATTAATGTCTTTGACCCCAAAAAGAGGTCAAAGACATTAATAAAAAACTTAATAAATAAACCGAATTAATAATTGGCATGTCCTTCTCTCCAGAGACCTGGAAAGAGCTAGCTTTCGTCCCATCAGTCTCCTCAATCGCTTGGGATCTTCACAAACAAGTAATTTTCAGTAGGTTCAAAGGCCATGCATATTCCAGTGCCCTCATTCCCCCCAAGCAATTCAGCTTTCGACTGAAACACTACTGTTCCGAACAGGTATACCTCCTGATGGAAAGAACACATCGCTACAAAGTTCCCACGGACCTGCCCATTATACACTCAACGCGTCAGACAGACACATGTGCAACCGTTTATAAACGTCGCCCACGCAATGTCCTCGAAGTTTCTATTGACCCCACCGCCGATTAATACAGTTAACGGCTTTCGGATCAAGGTACATACCAATTTGTGATTGCCCATAGATAACATACTTCTGTTAAAGATAATTCATGCATGAGCTCATAACAAGTATGCAGCCCTACCCAGCACAAAAGGCCATAATATAATACAAACTGATATTTTGGCTAGCCCTCATGTTCTGTATTTAATGAGGCTTTAATAGTCTACAGACTGCAAACAAAACTATTAGTTAAAGTAAAGTGAGTCATACATGAAATAGATATTGTTTTAATTTAACCCTTTTTTTATATATCTGCAATTTAAAATGAATTAATAATAAATTTAATTCAATAACTTACATACATGTAATAATAATACAATTAAATATACATTTAATAATAATAATAGTACTAATCAGAATCCTAATAATAAAATCCAAGTATAACCTACCTGTCCAAAACAATACACCATTCCTAACGTTCCTCCCATTCTGGATCCTAGAGTGTGTCCAAGTAAAAAATAAACACCACCACTTTCTATTCTACATCTTTCACAAATACCAACTGCTGATAATACTGAGATCAGTGCTACAAATACTGAAAAAAACAATGAATATTTATTAAATAAAAAAAATATATGATAAGAAAATCTGATAATGTCAGGGTCAAAAACAATGGATATTAAGAAAAACATTATTTAAGATGGAACTATACATGTATAGTTAAATCTCTTAATAGCAAACATTTTATCTGTTTCTTTATAATTGGATTTTTTTAAAGATATCTTGAGAAAATATTTTTATGCCCACTGCTACAGTTTTTTAGTTATATTAGACTTATATAAAGTATGAAGTGGAGAAAATCAACCAATATTGAGAATATAGATAATACTTGATATGAATACAGATAATACATATGGCTTGAAAACTCTCACTGAAATTGATTTTATCATTTAACTAACCTGTAAATATCACTATTAATATTGCATTAACTAAGCCTGCTTGGCCCACCATCCAACCAGACCTTAAAAATACAATTACCCCGAAAATATTGATCAGACAAGATGTAAATACTCCATCCCAAGTACCAAAAAGAACTGGCTGCGATATAAAAAAATTTGATTTCCACCATGGTACATCCCCCTGAAAAATATGTAGAATCAAGTGTTATAAAAATAATTTAAACAATTGGAAAAATTATAATGAAATTATGATAAAAGCAGCAATTAGACTATCCAATAATTAGGGCCGATTCTCAGTTAGGTTCCTTAGTACGGGCAAGTATATTTGCAGTAAGGCAGTAAGGGCCATAATTATTGGAAATATATGGGTCACAACTGCCCTAAGTCCTTACTAAAGGCTCTTACAAAGGATGGGTGTAATCAGAGTTAGAGTGCTCAGTTGCCGCATGGTGTTCAATGCAGGCAGGTGTGTGCTTCACTGCAGAAATTAAAAAATTACCTTTACATAGTTTTTCAGACATCTTTAGATGGCTCAACATGTTTCAGGTATCAGTTGCGATGAAAGTGGTTTAGATAGCTGAACTTTAGATTTTGATATGCATTTTCAGTTGCATAAACATGCAATGTTACTGTCAATCATGTTTAGCGCTGATACTTTCTTTTAGCTTTGTGTCCTCTATTTAGATATGTTCAGAAACTAAATTTAGTAAATAATTAAACTGCGTCATATGCATTCTCATTTAATTTCTGAAGTCAGTCTGATCCAAATGCTCCAGAATGTCCATATGTGACAATTTATTTCTTAGAATTAATATTTTTTTTCCAGCAATTCTCTTTTTTCTCCCATTATCTACCTGTCTATGGCGGCAAGAGCAACGCCAAATTTCTGATATTTTGACAATGATAGTGCCATGATGATACATTCAATAGGACCTATCGTTCCTGACAGCAACTGCCAACTGAAATTGGCAGCCTACCTAGGCCATTGTAAACAGAATGCCTTTACACCAATTTCTAGGACGCCAATTTTTAGGATCCTAATTATAGTACAGTCTAATCACTGCTAAAATTGAAATAAGAAATAAGTTTTCAGAAAAAGTTTGTTAAAAAAGGAAATGTTATATTTATAATTTACAATTCAAGGGTTCAAACCTGAATATCAGCGAATATTTCATTCGCTCCTGAAGCTTGATGTCCGCCGGTACCATATTGTGACTCATTTCCTAAATCTACAAAGCCTCCTGACTGTCTTCTCATACGTGCTCTATCGTATCCTGGTTCATCATTTCTAAATGTATCAGTGTCTAAATCTCTCCTCGAATTAGTTAGATCCATTTTTATGTAATAATTTAAATGAGCATGATATAAAAGTTAACTTGAAAAATACATAATCAACAAAGTGAATAAAATTATCACAGCAGTGATCACAAGTGACGTTAATTCTGTTTATGATTTATGACAAATGTCAAAATTGTGCTGACGTTTAATCAATATAGTCGACAACAGCAAATGTGTTAAGCTTTACATATTTATACAATTGATAAATTGAGAAATTATTTTACAAATTTTCATAGTGAACATACATACAAAATAATTTTACAAGAATAAATAGTATAATAGATTTGCTATAAAAATTATAGCAATGTCCATTCAAACGCAATATCAAACAGTGCATTTTGAAGTAGAAGCGCACAATGCTCACGCATCATGCAACCTACTTACTCCATCTTAACGGTACCCCCGCACTAAATCCCGCGGATCTTGTATTATCACGCCCGTATTCACAGGCTTCTTCACGCGTTTCCATTTCCCGTGCTTCTTCGTGAGCTTCCTCGCTCGTTTACACGTTTGACTATTTGCATGAGAAGAACGTGGAAGCGAGGAAGGATTCACCGTCGTTGAGTGACGCAAGCAGTAAAAAGTCAGACGGCCACATTACAGGGTTGTCAAAGTCCCCGTCCACCTATAAAACTAGAGCCAATGGACGCCTTCATCCCATAAGGCTTCCAGGCCACCTCCGCTTGGAATTATTTAGGTTAAAGAGGAGTTATATACGATCGCTAAGCTCCTTGATCAGATGACTGTTAAGTACTCTAGACCGGTATATTGGTCTTTTCCGAATCGTTTATTGGGCAATGACAAAGAGCCATTTCTCAAATGGCTCTTTGATACGCGTCCTTAATTAAGTGCTTGGTACGTATCCTGAGCGTCATCTGGCAGCGCAAGGTTTCTAAATTCTCAACGTGAATCGTATGCAAATTTTTTCGTGGTAATTTTTTTTATGACCACCCCGAAATATGAACAGAATAGATAAATTGACAACAAAAATGTGGCAGATTTCTAAAGTGATAATCACACTATTTGTTGTTCGCTTTGCATCTAACTTCATAATGTCGCTGTCGGTGTGCGCGCGCGTAACGCAATTTTTTCAAATTTTTCCAAACGTGCCAAAAGAAGTAAAACTTCCAAAAAATGTTGATTACGCTCAAACTTCGAAAGCAGTGACTGCGTTGCTTCACTGTTGGTGCTAAGTTCGATGATAAACGGAGTTATTATGAAGCGCCATTTAAACTACAACGATGACATTGCTTATCATTAAAGAAAACTTTAACGACCGCAGTGTGTTGGTATTTACATTCAATGCCTGCGAACCATTTGAAACAAGCTCATAAAAAGTTATAATGTTTTTAAAAACTTGTCCTACATATGCACTTTATTTCACTTTGATAACATTGAAATACATGAAAAAATGTCAATTTAGATACAAGCAAGTTACAAACGGACTTATTACGCAAACTTCTAAGAACACTGCGTTTCCAAGCAACTCCTTAATCTGCATAGCCAACAAGCTACCAAGCCTTCCTAAGGCTATGCTATATACATTACACTGATTTTATTAAATCGTAAGAACTGTCAAGCTCAGTCCAGGCGTACGCTTTTTTCAAAGTATTACATATAGTGAGAATTTTATCAAAAATTTGTATCCTCAACAACAATAGGTAGATGATGAATTATTTCATACTTATAAAACAGTCTGTGGGGGAGGCCTATGATCAGCAGTGGACTCAAACAGACTGAAATGATGACGATGATGATGAAAAGAAAAAAATGTAAAGCACCGAGAATGTACATAGACACTGATTATTATTCTTTTTTTTATGTGAGGAGGTGGCAAGCGAACAGACGGTTCACCTGATGTTAAGTGACAACCGCAGTCTATTGACATTTGTAATACGTAAGGTTGCTTGCAGATCCGTTGCTACCTTTTAATAAAAGTGGGCCGGCTACCTTACTCACCAGACAAAACGCAGAAGTAATAACACTTCCAATTCACGCCGGTCTTCTGTGAGGACGATATATTTATGGCCGAATATGAGATAAATTATGAACACCTCACTGGAAATCACATTTAACGAAGAGAAGGAATATTGGATAAAAGTTTTACTAAGTCGGCTCCACTTGGGGCAACCCATTTGGGCTGGCTTTACACCACCACCAAGGCGTGACTATGCCAAGGTTACTAAGCCTCTCCGCCACGACAAAGCGGGAACTCGGTAAGAGGGGCATATGCACCTTTTATGGCCACTGGATCGGGGGAGTAGCAGGGGTATGTGGGAGTCCCGGTGAGAAACGCGTACCCACTAAAAAGCCCACGTTGCACCTGTCTCTGTCGTATCGGCCGGGCACACGGGAACACGTGGACGCAACGACCCCGGCGCGACTATGGCCTTCTCATACGGCGATTCTCATTCTCTTTTTTGCATTTTTTTTGTTATTTACAAAAGCGTGTTTAAGCTAAGCTAGTTTTTTAAAACTATTGTTTATTTAAAAAAAAACAGTTTACTTTTAAACTATGGGTACTAGCCTATTAATATTCTTCTTCTTCTTTCCTTTATGGCGCTTTTATGGATTCGCCAATGACATGTGAAAGATGTTTTATCAGTTTAAAGATTAGATAGTGAATAATTTAGAGAAGAAAATTTACTTTGCGAAAAGAGAGGAGATTGTGATATTTTAGGCACGAAATAGAAACAAATAAATTTTGATAATACTACTCTGTTGAATTACCTAAAACAAAAGACAAACAATTATATTAAAACAGATATAATTAGTGTGTTAATATTGACAGACACTTATAGTTTAATGTTATTAGCGTTAATAAAATCACACAGAATATAAACAAAAGAGGTGTTTGTATAGGTTAATAGGGAGTTGAAGTCTATAGGACGCGGGATATAAGGGGGGAGGAGGTCATAGAGGGAATTGGATAACTTAGGACAGTCGAAGAAAATATGATTTGTATTTCTCTCGTCTAAACCGCATTCGCATAGTGAATTATCCCTAATCCTGATCTTGGCAAGATGGACGTATGTACATGCATGACCTAACCTTAAGCGACAGACAATTGAGGTTGAGCGCTTGCTAGCTTTATTAAATTTAGAACACCAGGGTTTACTTGGGATAATACTTTGTATGGAGGCATAATGTTTACCCTTTGAAATTTGTGTAACTTCCCACAAGTCCTTCCACTTATTAACTAGCAATTTCCTAGCGAGTGATACTAAATCATGAGAATAAGTCATGGCTAATGGAACACCATTAGATATTGCATCCTTAGCACATGAGTCAGCTGTTTCACTCCATGAATCCCACTATGGCCAGGTACCCATGCCAAAGTGACATGGATTCCTTTCGTAAAACATCTAAAAAGAACATTTTTATTTTTTTTTAATTAAGGGGATTTTAAATTTACTATGAAATTGGTTAGATAGAATAGCCTGTAAACAACTTTTGGAATCAGTGAGAATAATAGTCTTGTGAAGGTTGTGTGACTCTACATATGTTAATGCTTCGTAAATAGCTGTTGCCTCACCAGTGAAAATGGAACATACAGGGGGACAACTATAGTTTAAAATAATTTTAAACTTGGGTATCCAGACTGACGCACCTATACAGAGATCATCTGAAATTTTGGAAGCATCAGTATAGACTACAAGCCAATCTAACCAGGATTGATCTAATAACCTTTTCAATTTTAAATTTGCCATAGGATCATTTTTTTCAATGTTGAGGTCCAAGTGGACATCAGGTTGATGAATAATAGCTTCATAAGGAGTATCAAATAAGGGGTTGACTTTGCAAGAAAAAATATCACCAGGAATTCGAAGAACTGAAACAAAACTCTTAAACAAACATGGCAAATCTTTGTGGACCCAGTAATCACTTGTAGACACAAATTCCGATAGAATGTGTAATTTGGGGATAAGTGGATGGCATGAAAGCTGATATAGTTTAAAGAGGAATCTATCAGAAAGGTACTGTCTCCTTAAGTAGAGTGGTGGTTCAACACACTCCACTTGAAGGGCATTAATTGGAGAAGTTTTCATTGCTCCTGTGATGATACGGAGGCATTTGTACTGAATCTTATCTAAAATTTTGAGGGATGATTTACTGCATGGCTCCATGAGGAAAGAACCGTAATCTATATGGCTACGGATAAGAGCATTATATGATAATCTCTGGGAATATGGATGGGAACCCCACCATACACCAGAAAGGGATCGAATGATATTAATATTTTTCTCACATTTTTTAGAAATGTAATCTATATGATGAGTAAAGGATAACTTTCTATCCAAAACTATGCCTAAAAGTTTAACCTTGTCTCTATTCGGGATGGGGTGACCCTCATAAGTGATTAAGATATCAGGTACTCTCTTATGGCGGCAAATGATTACTATACTGCTCTTTAAGGCAGACAAGCATAGACCATGGTCAGTTAACCACTCTTGAAGATATAGCATGGAAGAATTTAGAAGGGTACAGGCTTTAGAAAGGTTATCTATTGGTAGGTACATGGCTGGGTCATCTGCATATTGGAGGAGATTACAAAATGAATTAACAGATAGTTCTAAATCATAGGTGTAAATAGTATAGAGAAGAGGGCTGAGGACTGATCCTTGGGGAAGACCTTTCCAAATATGTCTAAGCGACAACATAGAATTTTTAATATTTATATGGATTAATCTAGAAGAGAGAAAATTACAAACAAAGTTTACAATCCTCACAGGAATACTCAGCTTTAGCATTTTCTGCCTGAGCACTGGAAGAAGTACATTATCATATGCAGATGAAATATCAAGGAATATACCAACAAGATAGTTATGTTTAGATAGAGCTATTCTGATGTCTGAAACTAATGTACTGAGGCTGTCCATACTACTAAGGCCTTTTCTGAATCCAAATTGACTTCTTGGTAGGACATCTTTGCTTTCTAGAAGCCATTCTAAGCGATTTTTAATCAGGTGTTCCAGGATCTTTGCCATTTATCATAG